GCTACTGCTGGTGCTTCTGGTGAATCTGCTGTTTACGATTCTGATTATGACTATGATGATGGTGCGTCTGGTGATGCTCACGATGTTGATGCTGCTGCTGATGCTGCTGCTGATGCTGATGCTGATGACGAGGATGCCGATGACTACGTAGATGATGATGGTGCTGGTGATGATGACGATGATGGTGATGATGGTGATGCTGATGATGACGGTGATGATGCTGATGATGATGCTGCTGCTGAGATGACGATGCTGATGGTGATGACGACGATTATGATGATGAGCTGGTGATGATGATGCTGCTGCTGATGATGATGATAGCGACGACGACGATGATGATTAGGATGTTGATTATGATTACGATGCTGATGATGCTGATGATGATGATGCTGATGATGATGATTCGATGATGATGATGATGTTGATGACGATGTTGATGATGATGACGATGCTGATCATGATGCTGATGATGCTGATAATTCCGACGCTGATGATGATGTCGCTGCTACTGATGATGATGGTGCGGATGCTGCTGATGATGATGATAATGATGTTGTTGATGATGATGATGATGATGATGATGATGATGATGATGATGATGATGTGGTTGTTGATGATGACGATGACAATGACGATGCTGTTGCTGCTGATGATGACGGCGATGATCACAACGATGATGCTGGTACTGGTTCTGATCAAAATGATGATTCTTAGTATTATGATGATGATGATGGTGGTGATGATGAGGATGATGAGGATGATGATGCTGATGCTGATGCTGCTCATGATGCTGATGATGATGATGAGGAGGAGGAGGAGGCGTTGGAGGCGAAGGACGAGGAGGAGGAGGAGATGGTACATTTATGATAACGATGGTGGCGACGACGACGACGACGACGATGATGATGATGATGCTGAGGATGATGATGATGATGATGATGATGATGATGATGATACTGATGATGATGATGATGATCATCATCATGATACTGATGATGATGCTGATGATGATGATCATGATGATGATGCTGATGCTGATGATGATGATGATGATGATGCTGCTGAGGATGAGGATGAGGGGGAGGAGGAGGATGATGATTCTGATGATGATGATGATGTTGATGGTGGTGGTGGTGGTGATGATGGTGGTGGTGGTGATGCTGATGATGATGATGATGATGGTGATTATGATGCTGATGCTGATGATGGTGATGATGGTGACGATGATGGTGATGATGATGATGATGATGATGATGATGATGATGATGATGATGATGATGATGATGATGATGATGATGATGATGATGATGCTGATGCTGATGCTGATGCTGATGATGATGATGATGATGATGATGGATGATGATGATGATGAGGATGGGATGAGGATGAGGAGGAGGAGGAGGAGGAGGAGGAGGAGGAGGAGGAGGAGGAGGAGGATGAGGATGAGGATGATGATGAGGAGGATGAGGAGGAGGAGGAGGAGGAGGAGGAGGAAGAGGAAGCGGACGAGGAGGAGGAGGAGGATGAGGAAGTTCAGGGGGAGGAGGACGAGGGCGAGTCTTTGGCTCCGTCCTTCCCCCTCCCTCCTCTGCTCGATGCCCCACCCTCCTCCCTTCCTCCATCTCCGTTTTCTCCTCCCTCCCTCCCTCCCTCCCTTCTTCCCTTCTCCCCCCTCCCTCCCTCAACTCCTCCTGCTGCCCCAGCTCGCCGAAGGGGGGTGGCTGGTGAGCGCCGCCGCACCCCCCGCTCGCAGGAGCTGGGTGGCGACACAGTTTGCGGGCTACAGCTGCGAGTGCTCCGCCGCCCGCGCACGCCGCGGGGGTCCGCGGGTCGGTGATCAGACCTTGGGCTCTGCAGTGGCTTCGGTCTGGCGGGCCATGCGCGGACGCCATCTATAGGTGAATCCCAACTGAACTACGACCTCGCAGAACGTGCTTCCTGCTGTCTGCGAGTCAGGGCCTTTGGCCAGAGCCCTTGGGAGGCCCTATCAACATACTCCTGTCGAGTGCCAGACTTTGAGTGTATGCACTGCTCCTTGCGATTCTGTCTAGGGACCTCACTACTGAAGTAGTCGCAACTTGTACAGCACCAAACACCCAGGATGGAAAGATATATCATGTCATGGGGCGTGGGCGCCCAACCCCCACCTATCTGTAGGTGCCGACCCCTCGGACAATGAAAGACATGGTCACCCCCAGGAGTGATGACAGAGCAAGGGGACTTCCGCCACCCCTGAAGGGTGGCGGCAGGGGCAGATCCCCCACACGTCAAAAACACCTCTTGCCGCACCCGCTCAAGGATTGCGAGGCGTGAAGCATCGACAATGAGGCAGAGGAGGGATGAGGGGGAGGGGTCAATCCCGCCTGAGATGTACTCGAAGGAGTGGAGGTGGTGCGCTGTCGCGCAGCGTTGGCGGCCTGATTCAATGCTTTGCGCCCCGCACGGAGCAATCGAGCGCGGAGATGAGGGGGGGGGATGGACGATAGGAGGGAGGAGGGAATCCAGGCCTCACAGGGTCCGAGCAGATGGGGTCGGAGGATCGCGCCGCATCGCCGATGCCTGGGCGACTCGGCGAGACCTGGAGTCCAATTTTCTCCGTCCCGACGTCGCCGCTGCATCGGCGATGCATCGCTGATGCCGTGGGATCCTCCGGTTCCATCTGCTCCAACGTGAATTGGGTAGCCTCCAGGGAGGGAGGCAGTGCATGGGGGTGGAGAGGGAAGGGGTAGGGAGGCATGGCGAGAGATAAGCACGAGATGGGGGTGGAGAGGGGATGGGTGAGGGAGCGGCAGGGGGGGAGGGAGGGCTGGGGCAGGAGAGGGGGAGGGACGGAGAGAGGGAAGAAGAAGGGGGATCCGTAAGGTCTGGGATGTACATGCACATAGGTCAGGGTAGTTCAGAGATGCCAGTCATGGTAATTCCAGAGCAGATTGTGGAAGCCCCAGCGCGAGTCCAGGGACAGAAGATGTCGTTAAGCCTCAACAAGGGGTGAGGGGGATGAGGGTTGAGAGCGGGCGGGGGAGCCGCAGTAGCAGGGCAGTAACAGGCAGGAGAACCACGAGCAGGGACAAGGGGGACGCAGCGGTGGACGTGGGGGGAGGAGGAGGTGGTGGAGGAGGAGGAGGAGGAGAAGGAGGAGGAGCAGGAGGAGGAGGAGGAGGAAGAGGAATACTACTAACACGAAACATATGCATACTACTAATATGGTTTGCCAACAATAGCAATACTATTGATACGAGTAGTAAACTTATCTTGCGAATAGGAATGCGAATAATATTTACAATTCCACGAAGCGCCACTACTACTATTGTCACGATCACTACTACTACTACTACTACTACTATTACTACTACTATTACTACTACTACTACTACTACTACTACTACTACTAGTACTACTACTACTAGTACTACTGCTACTACTACTACTACTAGCACTACTACTGCTACTACTACTACTACTATTACTACTACTATTACTATTACTATTACTATTACTATTACTATTACTATTACTATTACTACTACTACTACGACTACTACTACTACTGCTGCTGCTATTACTACTACTACTACTCAACACAATCTTCCTATTATTATTATTTTTATTATTACTACTAATGACAGTATTCATACTACTAATATGAATTTTGCTACTCGTATTACCATTACTAGTGGTACTAATACTCCTCGTAATAACACCATCAACACAACTAGCACGACTACTACTCATACTCGTGATACTACTACTGAGTATCCGAATAACGAGGCATACCAGTACTACTCTCACTACAATTTCAGTACCTAACACTAGGAGCACTAATACTACGACTACTAATACATATACCAACAATACTAGTAATACCAACGCTACTACTGCTGCTGCTGCTGCTACTATTGTTATTCATACTAATAATTATAATAATTACGCTACCGAGGAACCCCGCATACTCATAGTATGGCTGGAGTGATGATAGCCGAGGTGAAGCATGTGAGAATGATGTTGGTGGCCGTTGCCCCGCCGATACCGTTGGTGACGCCACTCGAGAGGAGAGGTGGCAGAGGAGAAGCGCCGCTCCAGCCACACTGTGCGAGCCCGAAACAGATAGCGACCGCACCACCAAGGCACCCCCTTGTGGCGTCGTGAAAATGCCACGCCTGCCACGCTTTGCGAGGCCGCAACGGATAGGGAGACCACCCCCAGCGCACCCCCTGTGGTGTCGAGGAAGTGCTACGCCTGCCACGCTTTGCGACGCAGCAGCGGATAGGGATACCACTCCCAGCGCACCCCCTGTGGTGTCGAGGAAGTGCCACGCTTGCCACGCTTTGCGAGGCCGCAGCGGATAGGGAGACCCCCCCCAGCGCACCCCCTGTGGTGTCGAGGAAGTGCCACGCCTGCCACGCTTTGCGAGGCCGCAGCGGATAGGGAAACCACCCCCAGCGCACCCCCTGTGGTGTCGAGGAAGTGCCACGCCTGCCACGCTTTGCGAGGCCGCAACGGATAGGGATACCACCCCCAGCGCACCCCCCGTGGTGTCGAGGAAGTGCCACGCCTGCCACGCTTTGCGAGGCCGCGACGGATAGGGAAACCACCCCCAGCGCACCCCCTGTGGTGTCGAGGAAGTGCCACGCCTGCCACGCTTTGCGAGGCCGCGACGGATAGGGATACCACCCCCAGCGCACCCCCTGTGGTGTCGAGGAAGTGCCACGCCTGCCACGCCTTGCGGGGCCGCACCGGATAGGGAAACCACCCCCAGCGCCCCCCCTGTGGTGTCGAGGAGGTGCCACGCTTGCCACGCTTTGCGAGCCCGCAGCGGATAGGGAGACCATCCCTAGCGCACCCCTTGTGGTGCCGAGGAAGTGCCACGCCTGCCACGCTTTGCGACGCAGCAGCGGATAGGGAGACCACCCCCAGCGCACCCCCTGTGGTGTCGAGGAAGTGCCACGCCTGCCACGCTTTGCGAGGCCGCACCGGATAGGGAAACCACCCCCAGCGCACCCCCTGTGGTGTCGAGGAAGTGCCACGCCTGCCACGCTTTGCGAGGCCGCAGCGGATAGGGATACCATCCCCAGCGCGCCCCCTGTGGTGTCGAGGAAGGGCAGCGCCTGCCACGCTTTGCGAGGCCGCAACGGATAGGGGGAGCACACCCCCTGTGGTGTCGAGGAAGTGCCACGCCTGCCACGCTTTGCGAGCCCGCAACGGATAGGGAGACCACCCCCAGCGCACCACCTGTGGTGTCGAGGGAGTGCCGCGCCTGCCACGCTTTGCGAGCCCGCAGCGGATAGGGAGACCACCCCCAGCGCACCCCCTTTATGGTGTCCAGAAAGTGCCACGCCTGGTCTGCCTGGACGACTGGGGCGTGCTGCGCTGTGCTGGCCTGTGCTGCGATCTGCTGTGCTGTGCTGTGCTGTGTTGTGCTGTGCTATGCTGTGTGTGCGGCGTGCTGTGTGTGCTTGTGTGTTTGTGTGTAGGTGTGTATGTGTGTATGTGTATGTGTGTGCTGTGCTGTGCTGTGCTGTGCTGTGCTGTGCTGTGCTGTGCTGTGCTGTGATTGTGCATGTGTGCACTGGCCGTGCATGTTTTGAGCGCGGGTAAGGGGGGAATGGCGAGAGAGGAAGGGAGGTGTGCTGGTGAGACGCGGGTGCGGCGCGGCAGGGAAGAAAACCATAACCCCATGAAACATGTGGGGAATAATAAACATACTATCGCGAGTGCTAAGGCTAGTCAAACTAATCTTCATACCAATACTACGATCATGTACCACGAAGAGTAATATTATTTACGCTACCGAGGAGCCCCACATACTTATATTATGGCTGGAGTGATGATGGCTAAAATGAAATATGGCATGTGGGAATGATGTTGGTGGCCGTTCCCTGCGCGCCCCCTCTGGCGTCGAGAAAATGACGCGCCTGTTTCGCCGTGCGAGCCTGCAACGGATAGGGAGACCACCCCCAGCGCACCCCTTGTGGTGTCGAGGAAGTGCCACACCTGCCGCGCGTTACGAGCCCGCAACGCATAGGGATACCCCCCCAGCGCACCCCCTGTGGTGTCGAGGAAGTGCCATGCTTGCCACGCGTTGCGAGCCCGCAACGGATAGGGGGACCCCCCCCAGCGCACCCCCTGTGGTGTCGAGGAAGTGCCACACCTGCCACGCTTTGCGATGCCGCAGCGGATAGGGAAACCACCCCCGGCGCACCCCCTGCGATGCCGAGGAAGTGCCACGCCTGCCACGCTTTGCGAGCCCGCAACGGATAGGGAGACCACCCCCAGCGCACCCCCTGTGGTGTCGAGTAAGTTTGCGACGCCGCAACGGATAGGGAGACCACCCCCAACGCACCCCCTGTGGTGTCGAGGCCTGCCACGCTTAGCGGGCCCGCAACGGATAGGGAGACCACCCCCAGCGCGCCGGAGACCACCCCCAGCGCACCCCCTCGTGGTGTCGAGGAAGTGCCACGCCTGCCACGCTTTGCGAGCCCGCAACGGATAGGGAGGCCACCCCCAGCGCACCCCCTGTGGTGTCGAGGAAGTGCCACGCCTGCCACGCTTTGCGACGCCGCAACTGATAGGGAGACCACCACCAGCGCACCCGCTTGCGGTTTCGCGGAAGTGCCGCGCCTGCCACGTTTTGCGGGCCTGCAACGGATAGGGAGACCACCCCCAGCGCACCCCCTGTGGTGTCGAGGAAGTGCCACGTTTGCCACGCTTTGCGAGGCCGCAGCGGATAGGGAGACCACCCCCAGCGCACCCCCTGTGGTGTCGAGGAAGTGCCACGCCTGCCACGCTTTGCGA